CTGGGGCACTCTCCCCAGGGTGTTTAACATAAGCAGCTGCTCAGTTCATGCCAAGAGCTGATAGAGTCTTCTCTTGTCGTGGCATCCTGGCAAACTGCTTCCAGTGCCCTTCACTCAGTTCACAGACATGTTGTTGGGTGTGAGCGACATATTAAAAGATTTAAATTCATAGTTGACATCTGTGTCTTAGGAAAATTTTCGTGCAGTTCTGGAGTTGGGGTTTTTAGATATTGTAGTATTTGCTAATTCTGCTCCGTTTCCTGGATGGGAGCTGTGGTTTGGAGCCAAGTGTGTTTTGGACAGGGAATGCTTTTCCATTTTGCCAAGTGACCCATTCCAAATTCTTGGTTCCTTAAAGCATCTGAGTTTGGATCTTCGGGAATAACTTCATTTATAAAAGCTTAATTATAAAGTCATTAAAGGAACTTGTTCTTTTTTTTTTTTTTGTCTTTTTCCTTTTTATCGGTACCAGGGATCGAACTCACGACTGGCTGCTTGCAAGGCAGGTGCTTATGCCACTGAGCTAAATCCCCAGCCCCTAGGAACTTGTTCTTAAGGTGCTATTTTCTGCAGTACATGAATTTGCAAATTCTAATACGGGTTTCTGAGGAGTTTAAGGAAGTGTTTTATGTAATGTGCTTTTAAAAGGCATGCAAATATTATGTGCTGCAAACACATACTAATTTAAAGGAAGAAGAATATGATGTGGTTTGGAGTTTCTTCATAAGATAATTTACCAGATGGACAGGGCTTTAGGATATGGATCCTAACATTTCCAGGGATGGGACCAGTGATATTTGTATGCAGCTTTTCTCTAAAATTTAGCAGTATCTTCGGCTAGTGGATTTCAGTGTGTGGTTTCTGGATTAGCAGCATTAGTTTACCAGGGGACTTGATAGAAATGCACATTCTTGGGCTCTGTGCCATTCAATCAAACTCTGGGGGTGAGGCCTGGCAATCTGTATTTTAATCAGCACTTCAGATCACAGCAAATCAATCTTTTAAGAGAATGAAATGAAGTATTATAATAAAATATATTATCTGTATTTAGACATAGTTCACTTTGTATTTCTGAAAAAAATTTAGTAACACTGACCAATTCAAGAGCTACTTAAATTCTGAACCATGAAATTTGTTAGGGCATCCTAATGGAGATTTACACAAGTTATTGAGTTCAGTGGGACACTTGTGGATTTTTCCTACCTCCCACACTTGCTTTGTAAATTTACTTAGCAGGCCCTCTCTGGCTCCCGGTTTGTATTCTGGTAAAACACAGTATGCTCAGTATATTTCAGCCCTGCCCAGGACTTCTGCTTTGGGAGACATTCTGTGTCCACTTAAACTGGACCCCTCTGGCATTGTTCTTATTGCTCTAGAAAATGATGTGGATACAGCAAATGACTGATGTTAGCCATCATTGTTTTTGCTGTTATTTTAGTGAATTGCTTGTGTTCACTTAGCTTTAGAAGGTTCAGAAGGGACCAAGGATTTTATTCAGCGGCACAGCACCTGCCTAGCAAGTGTGAGGTTGTGAGTTTGATCCCTGGTACATTAAAAAAAAAAAGATTCAGAAGGCTACATACTCCAGTTGTAAGTCAGAAATCTGAACTATAGAAAGAGCTCATTTTAGGACAGAATTCTAAAATATGGTGCCTGCAGATTATGATTTGTAATGGTCATGAGCAACCTCATGGAAAGCAATCTAGTAGACCTTAGTATTCCTCTGTAACAGTTTCTGAATTCATTTTTTTTTTTTTTTTGTCTTTTTCATTTTTATCGGTACCGGGGCTCGAACTCACCACCGACCGCCTGCTTGCAAAGGCAGGTGCTTATGCCGCTAAATCCCCAGCCCCTAAGTTTCTGAATTCATTTGATCTGACCAGTTTCTAACTTTGCTTTGCTATTGTACCCAGTTTTTTTTTTTTGATCTTGAAACTACTTATGTAAAGCAAAAATAATCTGTAATAGAAAGGCTAAGTTATTGAAGGCCACACTTTACGACTTAATTTAGCAAATATTGCTGGAGGGCTGTGGGCCTGCCTGCTGTGGTGGAGACAGACACACTGAGGAGGCAGTTCTTCGGTGAAAGATCTTGAAGGATGAGGTTCATGTCCTCAGTTGTCACTTCCTACTAGGTGGTTTGGTTTCTTCTACAATGCTTTGATTATGTAATAAGTAGGATTTGTTTTTAAGAGAGAGGCGTGTTTCATATTTGAGGGAAAAGCCATTGAAGAGTTTTTGTAGCTGGACATGGTAGCACGTTCCTATACTCTCAGCAGTCTGGGAGGATGAAGCAGAAAAATCACAAGTTTGAGCCCAGTTTGGGCATCCTGACAATTTAACGAGACTTTGTGTCAAAATTTTAAAAAAAGGCCTAGGGGATACAGCTTGGTTTGAAGACCTTGGGTTCAATCTCTATAAAAGGAAGTTTTTGTAAATTAACCCAGTGATTTAAAAATGTCAGCTAAATAATTGGCAAAATGTTTTATTATCCTTAACATTTTTCATTGCAGTACCACAGTGTCTCCTCTGGGGTACAGTGCCCCTGATATAAAGCTATGGATCAGGGTGACCCATCGAGGGAGGTCTGTCTCTGACAAGGAGCAAAATCAGGACAAGGCCACAGTACATATGGTTTCTCTCTGTTATCATTCATTTTGAATTAGTTTTGATTCCTTGAATGAGAGCTCAGCTCTCTGTGATCTGATCTAGGAGACACTGGTCAAGCTTCACTAAGCAGAAGATCATTTCTTGGCTGTAGTGCTTTTAAACTTAACTGTAGAATTTTAATTCCAAAGACATTCCCAATGCTGGGAATATCACCTTTTCCTGTATATTGTGCTAGGCAGTAAGCTCAAAAACAAAACAATTCAGTTGCTTCCCACAGGCAGCAGTTAAAATCTTTAGTAGATTTTATAGAGGCCATTCTCTGTCTGATACAATTTTTGAAATTTTTGCAAAGTTTAAGAAACACTTCAGAGGTCTTAAAATTTATATTATTTTTGCTTAGTAAGCATTTATAGATACGCTGTGAAGAGAGTCATCTTAAGAATTCTGAGCTTCAGCCTCAGGCTTCTATTCTAAGAATCTCTGTATTCTGTATAATTTAGAACAAGCGAAAGAAAACAAAAACCAAGCATAAACACCTCATAACATAGGTCCATTTTCATAACAACAACAACAACAAAACCCCTATAACAACACCCTACTCCCAAGCACCAAAACAAACACAACCAAGAAATGAGCAAGGGTGAGAAAGACCAAGAATCCAAGTTGTCGTTCTTGCCAAAATTTGTTGAGTAAATACATTTCCACAGCATCAAACAGGAATAGCTTAGTATGAAACTTAAATTCTTATGAGAAAAAAAACCATGATAAGAAATAATTCAGGCTGACGATAAGTTGTTGATGTTTTCTTCCGCATTGAGTTTTAGAGGGCTGGGAGGTGCGGAGTGAGAGATTGGGCCCTGAAGGGCCATGGAGACCTTACGGTCAGGGCCGGCCACGTGTGTACAGGGTCATGTGAGGCTGCCTTTAGGTGTCTGGGATTCAGAGATGATAGGAGCACTTAGGTCTAGAGGGCCTTCACTCCTGTTTTGGTAAATCCAACATAACTTTTTGATGGAGAGTAATAAATCGCAAAATCAACCCAATAACAAATAGTAGAATTAAATAAAAAAAGAAATTGGCCATCAGTAGTTCCAAAGTGAGGGAGCATGGAGACAGATGTCAACTCTCTTGGTAGAGACCTTAAAAACCTTTAGAAATGGGTACTGAGTACTGAATGAACCAAAATTACTTTTTTCTCTTTTTACTTCTTATGAATATTTTGATAAATCTGTCATAAGTTTGTATTGGAGACTGTCTTTGGGTGAAACACAAAGTTTTAAAAGCCCAATGAAAAAGACACTATCATTTTCAGAGCACATGATTCTTGATTATCAAAGAAGTGGCCACAGGGATGTGACTGGCGTATAGCTGAGATACGTGCAGCTATGCAGTTTCTTTCTTAGAACAGATTTCATAGTTTCTTCTCTTTGTAGAAAACTGCATGGTAAAGCATTCTCTGTGGCTTGTGTTCAGAGTATAAGATATAAAAAAGGCACCTTTATGGTCAGAAGAGTTACAGACAATAGGAAAATGTACCTATGCAATATTTTGAAAATCATTTGTTAGCATACTGTAATGGTTTTTGAACTATGAGGAATTAAGTTTAACTGAGTTACATCATCTTTGTCATTGTTCTAGATATATTTGAGGTTGATTAGTAATTTTATTTCATTAAACAGATCTTTTCACTTGTCATGTATTTTTATTTTCATTTTTAGCATGTATAAAACTAAGATGTTTACATTGGGGTTTAGTTAAATACTTGAGCATGCAGCATATTGCCTGGCATATAGCAAGTGCTTAATAAGTGTTTGAACCCATGACTTTAATATATAGTGTTATATTAAGATATTTGCTGGTATTCTCTTGATGCCTGCCTTCTCCCATTAGTCACTTACTTTCAGTTAATTAAAAGGGAATTATTTTATAACACATTCTAAAAAGAAAATATTAATATTGGTATCTCAAAGTTAAAATTTTTAGAGAAAGCAACAGACTGGTTGGCAGATTGGAAAACAAATTGTAAAATATGAAAAGTACAGATAACTTTTCTTGGAGCAGGAGTGGCATGTAGGGAGTGAAAAGTGACTAACCTATACATAAACGATCAAGAATCAATCCATCAGAAATAGCTCCTCTTAACAGAGATTGTGATTTTATTATGCCCCACCATATCCATTTCTTGTTTGGAGACAAGCATGTTATATTCAGTTTTTCCATCATGAAAGTGAGCTCATCACCCCAGCTCCCAAATGCCATGTGAGTCAAAGTTGAAAGTTGTTAAATTTTTCAGACCATGACACATCCCTGAATGTCAAGAAATGATGGTTATTTTCTGTGCTTTTATGTTGTCATGATGGTTATACTTCTTTTTATCCCCTCTTTTCTAGTCATACAGTTTATCAAGAAAGAAAATTGTGCACTATACCTGTTTTGACCAGCGGAAAAGAGCAAATGCAGCGTTTTTGATAGGTGCTTATGCTGTAAGTACTTTTTTCGTGATTATTTTCTATAGTTATCACTGTGAAATGCTCGCCATTTCAATAAAATCCAGGCCACCTTGTCAGTGAGATTGTGAGACGGGGGAGATTGTTAGTGGTTTGGGAATTGATCTGCCATTGAAAGCATGGACTGGCATTGATAGAGTGTTAGTAGCTAGTGAGAGAATGTTGCAAACACAAGGTGTGGCTTGGATCCCACAGTTGTAAGTTTTAATAAAAAGAATACCTAGTGAGAACATTTCTGGGAAAAAAAGTGGTGTGTGTATGTATGTATGTGAAGTGCAAGGGTAGATAATAGGGATAACAGACATGGGCAAAATATATGTGTCAAATATTAAAAAGTCATTTGTTTTCAAAGGAAAATAATTTTTTAGCATGCTGGCACATGGATGTAGTGATGCATGCCTGTAATCCCAGCACCTGGGAGGCTGAGGCAGGAGGATTGTCATGGATTTAAGGTCACCTTGAGCTATATAATGAGTTCAAGATGAGTCTGAACTACATAGCAAGACCCTGTCTCGAAAAATTTAAAAAAATGGGGCTATGGTTTAGGAATTCAGTGTCTGCCTGGCAAGCATGAGGTCATGTGTTCGATTCCCAGTACCAAAAAATAAATAAAAAAATTTTTTTCTGGAAAACTTCTACAGTCTGTTAAGGTGTTCCATTTTGGGGAGATGAAGAAATCTGTGATTGCTATAGAACACTAGAATACTTTTTTTTTTAAAAAAAAAGTCATTTCATTCATCTATTCTATACAAATGTCTGCAGTAGGAAAACTGAATATAAATCATGCATACATTACAGTTTCCCATGTTAAGTAGACAAGACCTTTAAAAAATAACCTTGAGAGGCTGGGGGTATAGCTCAGCAGACAAGCACCTGCCTGGCAAGCATGGGGTCATAAGTTTGATCCCTGATATAAAAAAAATATCGAGTAGGTTTTTTTATTCTTTGCAAATACTAAAATGTCAATAAGAATTTCGTATGAACACATTATAGTTTCTGGAATTTTCTACATAGGTAACCTTGAATACTGTTTCAGAGAGATGTGTGACATCTGGTTAACAGTGTGTTAAGTGCAGTCGGAGAGATGTCATTGCCCCTCATCTTTGGGCAAGGCCAGCTTCTCTGACACCCGGAAACACACTTGCTGCATGACCTTTTGAGGGCTCATCCTGGAGGCCTTGGTGGAAGGATGCTAGTTAGGAGATCTTACACTCTGAGCCTCAAGCCTGAAACTCGGGGGAAGAGCCCAGTGGTGCTGTCAGGAAGGCTGTGAACTGTGGGGGCATAGGCTGTGAAGAGCAGCGAGCTGACAGCCAGGTGTGGGCCCCCAGCTCCGACCCCCTCTCCTCTTGACGCAGCTGCAGCGAAGCCTTAGGGTCTGCCTCCTCCTGGGCCCTTTGCTTTCTTGCTGGATAGTACAAGGAAGAGTAGTTACGAATCTGACAGATATATGAGTTTTTCACCATGAAAGGGCTCTGTGATGGAGAACAAGCTCTCTCTCTCTCTCTTAGATGTATTTACTTTAGCTGTAAAATGAGAAAGGTTGGATATAATGATCCCTAAATTTCTCATTCTCAGGTTACTAGGATTAGTGGTAGCACCGCCTGCTATTGCTTTAAAGAACATGCATGAAACTCTGGCTTTTGGAAGGAAGGTTCAGGGCAGTGCTGAAACAATTCAGTAGGCAAGCTTATTTTTCACTTTATGTTGGTAACTGCTACTCATTTGAAACTGATGATTAGCACTGTGATTAAAATAAAGAGTGGTTTCACTGATGTCTGGACTTGAGCCATGTCAACAGAGCCTTTCCTGCAGGATTTGTGATGCTTTGTGAGCATATTATTTGAGGATCCTTTGTCATAAAGAATTGCCATCAAAAGGAGGTTATCCATCTGCTAGTCTTATTGTTTATTCCCCTCATTTCTCTCCTTTTTCTCAGTTACCCTTGCTGTTTTGTTTAGTGTGGCTCTTCAGATTACCTGTAGGATTTTGCAGTGAACTAGTTACAGTTATAATAGGTGCATAGAGCGTATGATAAAAGAGCCTGGGGAAAATACATTGTCTTAAGGCATACCTTTCTACCACTTTAAAGAAAACAAAGGGAGAGAAATCAGTGCTGGCATGGCAGAGAAGTGCTGAGCACAGCATGGGCTTGTCTTACACGCGAGTTACAATCCTGAGTGTAAAGTGATTTTTCTTCTACTGGTCATTTCCGAATTGATTTCTTTATCTAATTTTGGAACTGCATTCCACAGAAAGCTATTTGACACAAATCCTTAATAAAAATGACACTTAAGACTTGCAGTCCTTCTTAGAGTTTTATGCCTTTCTTCATATCATCTGTATGCCCTTAATTTTTGACATATCTTGGAAAAAGATGGTAATATGCCTTACCCATACACCTGGGTTAAATTTCATATGTGCTCAGTGCTGCTAGTTGGGTATGTCTCAGTCTTCTGAGAGAACATTATCTGGGCATAAAGGCCTTTACTTTTGGAGCAGGCACATATTGTGGGGCAAACAAGATAGGTATGTTTGATCAGAGACAGCTCCTTAACAGTGAAGGTGATATTTTTTTTTTAAATGTAGAATCCACCTGCTTCAAAGAGAATTGACTTATAAAAATGTTTCATACTTAAGACAACTTCAGTCTCTAAGTTTTAGTTTTCTAATTGGTGAAATTTGATTAATACCCCGGTTTTCCTGTCTATCTCACAGAATTTACTCTATCAAATATCCAACTGCTTGTGTAATAGCTCCACCTTACATATCTAAATGCTATCTCAAGTTTATTGCTTTTATTCTTTCTCTCTCCATATCTGTTTGTTCCCCTAGTCATCCCACCCATACTTCTAGTTGTAAAGTAACTGCCACTAGCGACCTGCTAAATCAAAAATATAGTAGTTATTTGGTTCACTTTGTTCCTTCATCCATGTTATACTTATTGGTGAGTTTGGTCAGCTGTCTCTGGGCAGCACATACTGAAATGGAATATTCTTTCCATTACTAGGCATCACCTAGAGTAGTCCTGGGTGACCTGTGACATGCGCACTGCGGCTGGCTGTTTGTGGTCATTGAAAGCTCTAAAAGGCTCACATCACTAACCTAGACCAAGACTCTCATTGTTTGTCTGGATACTGCTATGCCTTTATATCTTGTTTTCTGTTTTCCTTTTTACCTTCTTGCTTCCTTTTAATTTACTTGCCACATAATTGTTAGAGTGCTTTTTTAAAAATAAAAATCAGAGCTGGTTGTGGCAATACACACCTGTAGTCCCAGCTTCATGGGACACTGAGATGAGAAGATCATTTGAGCCCATGCGTTTGAGAACCTATCTCCAAAAAGCAAAAACAGCAGTAATATACACGCAAATATGTAAATTAAAGCACCTGTCTGAAGACTGATGTGCACTATTGTTGGCATAACCATGCCATTAAGATTCGTGCTGACCTGAGCCTGTCTACCTCTGTGAACTCCTTCCTTGAGCTGGTCCCATCATGCTGAAAATCCCTCATTTGTTTCCATCAAGGAGACTTGACTTTTCTGGTCTCTCCACGTGGGATGTTCTTTTTCAGTCCTTTGCACATTTGGTTCTTGCTCACATTGCTGTCTCAGACTGTCACGTTTTACTCAGCTGTTACCCTTAGTTACCTACCAGCCCCAAGGGGGTTTTATTTTCTGTACAGCCTTCTGCAATTTGAAATCATTTTGTTTATGTATCTCTTTCCCAGACTAGAGGGTAGGGACCTTATCTGTTTTTTTCATTGCTGTGTCTAGAGGGTGATAAAGTATTTAACAAGAGGTTAGGCCCCAGCACTTACTACTGGAGTTGGAAGCTGGCCACCCAGCTGGCGCAGAGTCCTGCAGCCTTCTTGCTGTGTTGACTCATAGGCAAGCCTAGGGTGTGGGTTGGGGTAAGGGACTGAGGTCTGAGTGAAAGGGTTACCGATGGTAGCACCTGTTCACCAGCTGCTGCGGAGCTATTTCAGGGCTCAAACACTGAGCATCAACATTAGAACTCTGTCAGGCCCCTTAGTAGCTGGCTTTGTAAGCATCTACTAAATGAATGAATGATGGGGTAACAAAATATGAGTGAAAGAAAGAAAGGAAGATACAGAAGGCCAACAGGAAATTAACAGGCGACTCCTGAAAATGATCAAGTGGGACATGAAATGTAAGGCAGTTTCTTCTTCATTACCAGAACATTGATGGTAATGACTGAACCAAAGTGAAGAATCATAGTCCAAAGGTAGTACCTGGTGCATTTTTTAAATGAGCTTGTATCTTTTTAATTTTATTGTGGTAAAACATACAATGTGAAATTTACTATCAAAACTTTGTAAGTATGTGATTGTTTAACTTAGAAAACTAAGTTCAGTGGTATTAAGTGCTCTCATGTTGTCATATACGTATTAACATGTCCCACTTTTGGGTGTGATATCTTGTGGTGTATGAAATGTGCCTACAGAGTTAGGCCTTGGTTGTGGTTTGTCTGCCAGATAATGACAGTGTGCTGCAGAAGTGTTTGTGTTTCTGTGTTTTTTATCATTTCATACTTAATTTTATGCAGTCATTTTATCCTTCTCTTCATTTTATGCTGTTGTTTTATACTTCTCCCACAGAGTTGTCCTAAGGGTCAAAAAGAAGTGGTAGAAATCCTCATGTTCAGTTGGGGATGTACAGAGAAGGAAACTCTCTATAGATTGATCTTAAAGCCAGGGTTGCTGGGATGATGTGGCGATACTTAAGTGGATGACAGGACAGTCCCCACTCGTAACACCATCTCTTCACTTCCTAAGCTGTGGCATTGTGATCCTCAAGTTTGAGGACTGAAATTCTAAGAAGAGATCATCTTTTCCAGAAAGGTGTTTTCCTTCCAGTACAGCACTCAGTGAGATTTGTAGAGTTAGGATGCATGATAATATCTAAAATATTTTCATATGATTTTGAAGAAGATGGTTTTAAAAATTATGAGT